GTCAAGGAACCGACTCAATTTACGCTTCTAATCTTTTCTTCGGGAATATCTAAAGACCAAATAAAATTATTTAAATTTAGCGTACGGCCAACGCAATCTTCTCTCCTATTTTCAATAAATTCTAATTAAAAAATATTTAAAAAAAAAGATATTTAGTAAAAAAAAAAAATATGCCATTTATTTCCTCGAAGAATACTTAAATAAATTATTTACATAATTCAATTCGCACCGGTGCCTTTTTAATTTTTAAAACTTTCGCAAATTAATTTTAATATATTATTCGAAAGTAAAATTAAATTAAGAGCTCGGCATTTTATATTAATTTTTTTTAAATATATATTTTTACATTTAAAATTAAATAGAGCAAATTTCGGAGTCTTTAACANATACAAATGTAATTAACATTGCCAGGAGAAGACACGGCTTAGAATCTTACCAGTGTTGCAAGAAGAATAACCCTTTATTAAGTATCGACAATTCGTTTACAATCGAAAAGAGAGTAATTTATTTCGAACATATTATGATAATGAAAGAGTTAAAACCCATCAGAAAACGATTTTCCGGAGTGAGCTATTTGACAAATGGATAAGAGCTTTGATAAGTAATTTTAGAACCGAATCCGGATCCAGCAAAAAAAAAAAAAAACTGCAAAATAATTGGCATCCGATTCATCCGAAAGCGAAAAAAAGAAATAAAGTTAGGAAAAATGATTTTGACATTTTCTTAAATACAAGATTTATGCTACGACCTTTCGAGTTGATCCACTTTTCAAGTCATCACATTGTGCCTCTGTCATTTGATAATCTCCGTGATTGATAGTCGAGTCTAGGATATTGCTGTAGTTCGGTTCACTATGTTTACTTCACTTATTTTATACCGGACAATAGCTTTGGCACTTCATTGATTTTTGGATACCGTCCTCCGCCATATTACCCGAGTTACACCCTCCTCGGTCGTCAAGGAACCGACTCAATTTACGCTTCTAATCTTTTCTTCGGGAATATCTAAAGACCAAATAAAATTATTTAAATTTAGCGTACGGCCAACGCAATCTTCTCTCCTATTTTCAATAAATTCTAATTAAAAAATATTTAAAAAAAAAGATATTTAGTAAAAAAAAAAAATATGCCATTTATTTCCTCGAAGAATACTTAAATAAATTATTTACATAATTCAATTCGCACCGGTGCCTTTTTAATTTTTAAAACTTTCGCAAATTAATTTTAATATATTATTCGAAAGTAAAATTAAATTAAGAGCTCGGCATTTTATATTAATTTTTTTTAAATATATATTTTTACATTTAAAATTAAATAGAGCAAATTTCGGAGTCTTTAACAATTACACCAACGATTTAGACGTAGAGGGAAAAGAGAATGCTCTTGTTTTCCGATATTTACAATTAAAATTAAAGATATTATCTGTAAAAATAACAGGTATTTTATTAGAAAAAGTAAAAAAAAAATTTAATAATTTATACTATTCTCCTGTTGGAAAAAATTCGAAAGAGATCCGAATTATTTTAAATTTTAAAGGGAATGACGTCGGGGGAGAAGAAGAAAAAACACGTACAAATTTATAGATTATAATTAAAGAGACAAAACGGAAGTGACAAATTACTAAAAGTAATTACAGTTAAATGATAAATTCGAAATCGGAGCGAATAACTCAGAAATATACACGTTATCGTCCGACGATGGCTTCATAATCACTTAAAGTGAACCTACTTTATCGATTTCGTTCTCCGTCAACAATTCGTAGTAATTTTCGTTTCCTAAACTTCATTTTTTTTTTATTTCCTAAAATGTTATTCGTATTTTCTAATTATTATAAAGAGCGTAATTCTAATCCCGTAAAGAAACAACAATTTAAATAGTAAATAGTATAACAGGTGAAAGGACAAAAGACCCCCTTTAACTAATGTAATGGAAACTACGAAATAAAAGATACGTGGCGTATCGATTTTATTTTTGTCCAAAAGCATTGGATACTATGGAGGGTTTTTTTTTAAAAAATATATTTTCTCTAACGTTTTATAAAATTAAGACGGAGCGGATTTAATAAACCCGGTCGACGTCCTCAAAAATTAGCTACGACTTTCCTCTTTCAAATCGCAACGGATTTGGAGTAATGAGATTCTCTAGGAAAAAAGGGGGAAAAAATACCATTAGGCGAGAGTAACCTATTCCGGTTACAGTCCGACAACACCTACTCTCGTCATTGATCCGTAAAACGGGGAAAAACATCTCCACCGAAACAGTTGGAAATTTGCATATTCTAACTCGGTAATTGTACCCAAATCGCTTCCCAAAACACGGCGGTAAGTATTATTTTGTCGTTTTTAAATATCAATTTTTTGCACGAAAACTTGTTTAGGGAAGGAGGGAGGAGAGAAATCGTCGTAATCGCGACGTAAAGTAAGTCATGGCGTCGTTTGACCCGTAAAATATCACGAAACTTCCGTCTAAAAATCGATAATAGAAGTCGAGTTTGTTATAGATAATAAAAATTGAGGACGATTTAGAAATCGGTAATAATTATAAAGGCGATTCGAGCGCCGTTTCTTCCCCAAAGTTTATCGAATAAAATACCACGACGTCGTGTAATTAATTTACACGCGTAAAACGAGTACAATATATTACAATTTAAAATCGATATTACTCGACGTAATTTTTAATTACTGTAAGTAAAATATATATAAGCTTCCGTCTTGAAAATTATTCAGGAAATAACTCTCTTAATCAAATTACTTAGCTTATTTAAAAATATAATACAATTAGTTCGGAGCGTGATTAATATTATTATATTAATCACACTGAAAACTAATTGAAGAAAAGAAAATAAACCCAACAATTTTGATATAATTTAAATAAAAACACAATAATATTTTACAATTTATTGTAAAAAAAATATATTAAACAAAAGAATAACACACACAAACTGGAAATTGCGGTCTTCTTTTGTTATTTCATTTATTACAGTATTTTTTTATTTTTTTAATATATTATTTTTATTAGATTTTTTACTCGAGTGAGCTGACGGGTAAAATTTACCATCGGAAGAGAACGAGTGTATTTTTACAATGAGATATTTTAAAACGGGTCTGCACTGATTACTTCTCTACTCCCGTATATTAGAAGTTTGAAAGGCAAGAGAACTCTTGAAGTTTGAATTATTTAGATAGCCGGCAATAGAATTCCAAGTTGAAGTATTCGAGAATTGAAGTCTTTTAAATTCGAACGTTTAACAGTTTCTCATCATTCATACACCTAAAAAAAAAAAAAAAAGGAAATGTTCTTTATTTCTCTTAAAATTGACTTCATTGTCGATGGAGAAAGAAAGCGATTTTAAATTTAAAATAAAAATTAAAGTAGGAATTCGTTTCGTGTTTATAATTTGAGATTCAAAAACACTTATTTTTTTAAAGAATATATACGTAAATATACGTAAAGATTTTTAAGTGTTATTTATAAATTACGATAGAGCTTTTCATTATTCGATTATTATTATTAGCGAGGTTGCGGCCGAAGTTTTCGTCTTTCAAACGTGAACGTCGAACGTCGAGCGGCGTTCGACGTTCGACGGATGAAAACGTTTGGACGACGTTCACGTTCAGAAGAAAACGTGTGACAGAGGAAAACGTTCAGACGTTCACGTTCGACGTTCACGTTTGACAGATGAAAACGTTTGGACGACGTTCACGTTCAGAGGAAAACGTTCAGACGTTCACGTTCGACGTTCACGTTTGACAGATGAAAACGTTTGGACGACGTTCACGTTCAGAAGAAAACGTGTGACAGAGGAAAACGTTCAGACGTTCACGTTCGACGTTCACGTTTGAAAGATGAAAACTTCGGCCGCAACCTCTGTATTAAGTCGTTGTGTTTACGGTTCGAAGTGGCTATCGAAACTTGTAAATAGAACAATGGATGATTATTATTCTTTCGAGATTAATTCTTAGTTACGAAAGAATTTCTAAACTTGCCGTAAACAGTTTAAAATTCGGAGACGTTACGTCTTTATCTTCTACTAGTAAAAAACTATCCACAACTCAATTTTAGAAATGTTCGCTCTGTTACACAACGGAATTTATGAATAATTTATGTTTATACCAATTTTTATCTATCAACTCCGGCCAAAAAAAAAAAAAAAAAAAAGTCTAAAGTCTCATTTACATGACGTTATACACTTAAACAACGTTAATCTACGTTTTTTTAGAAGTCTCTTACGGATTCGTATTACAATTTACTTAATTGTTATTTAATAGGAAACGTTTTTTTAGCTGATAGAACTACTCGAATTACGAAATACCGAATTACGCCAATCGATTCTGCGTAGAACTTTTATTATTATTTTATTTTATAAACGAGAAAGGCAAAATACGTCGTTTAAATATTCGAAATACAATAGGCCTATATGTATGGATGGGTTATCGTTACGTAAAGCCACCGACGTAATTGAATAGGACGAGTAAAAAAATAGCGTAGACAAATAAGAGTAATTAAACACTTTTATCGAAGAGAAAAATATTAACGGGGACAAATATTTAATGGTTTATTCCATTAAAATCTTTATGAGAATAAGAAGAGAGTAGTGGAATCATTAATCATGTATCGAAGACGGTAGCGATCGGTGGAGAAGTTAAAGTATTTATTACTCTGTCCAATGACACTCGAGTAAACATCCTCTCCTCTCTCGCGCCAGCTCCGTTAATAATCGATTTAAAAATATTGGCAGAATTAATTAGACCACTGCGTACGGTACGTGGTTCGTACCGGGTTGGTACGGAAGTTTTCCTTTCTAGAAAAAAAATTATGTAATTAAATATAACGGTAATTAAAATTTAAAAAAGTCCATTTCGTTTAATAACGGACGTTAACGAAAGGAAAGGAGGAAGAATCGGGGCGGTGGAGACCGAGAATCACGTGGTAGAGCGGGTACGTTAAAAAGCACGTGATCGAGTGGCGCTGAACCGCGCGTGACGTCACCGGGCACGGGTAGTGCCTATAAGACAGTGCGCGATGAATGGTCCCGGGTGAACACAATGCCCGTTGCCGCCACGGGTGTAGGATTGCTGTGGTCTGTCTTGTCCCTGATCGCTTCGGTGCTCAATTCGGTGGGTTTCTATAGTCCCTACTGGCTGCGAGGCACCTCCTTCAACCGGACGCAGGTGACGTTCGGATCGTTTCGTCGCTGCGTCTACCCGCGATTGGGTGAAGACGGCGACTGGGTCATGGTGTACGAGTGCGGACGCTACACTACCTTTTCGGACATCCCCAGCGTGTCGTGGCAGATCGTCACCGTGGCGGTGGGAGTGGGTTCGGCCATCTCTTTGCTGGCCGCCTTCACGGCGCTCGCATCCTGCTGCATCTCGGACGTATTGACCAAGAGCACGGCCAGGATATTGGGCATGATTCAGCTGTTAGCAGGTGAGTCTCCCCCTCGCTCCCGTGTCCGTTTCAATCCTCACGATTTGCGCTTCTTTTAAATTTCTTTTCCGATCCGGTTGCCATTTGCAATTCTCCCGGACGGAGTACCCGCGGTACAGTACGTCGAGTCGGAAAGGTAAACTTAAAAGCCAAGTTTCTTTCGTTTTTTCCAAATACACGGAGATGGATTCTCTAAAATACAATCGATTTTTTAAATTAAACCAAGTATAAAAGCACCCACTCCGTAGGATACCGGCATTAACCGCCGGGAGAGAGGTTTGTCGATCGTCTCGGTAACAGTATACTTTGTTACGTTAACCATAAATACGTAACTAGGCGGAAGCGGAAACCGTAATTACTCGGGCAATAACCGCGAATGGTCTTAGTACGCGTTGGCGGAAAAAAAAAATTTAATATTTATCTGACGGAAATCGCTAGGAAAGATTCGATGGTGGTGGCACCCTACGTTAAGTAACAATGTCTCTTCTAGTATCGTTCCTTATAGAGTTACGCTACCGTTTTCTAAACAAATTCCAAACCACGTTTTTAAAGTCGTTTGGCGTTATCGTTTCCACTTTTTTTTTTAATATATAAAATAGAGACGTTTGCAGTGAGGTTTATATTCCGGTATCGACTGCCAAGATCCGTCACATTACGTATGAACGAAGGCAACAGATGTCGAGTATTACAAAAAGCTTGTCTTTGCGCGACGAAAACACTTTTCGTATTGATAATGTGTGGCCGAAAGCGTTTGTCTTTCTAATCCTAAAAGTCACTTCTTTGTATTTCGCTTATTGGACTCTTTCTTATTTCTTTACCAATAATTTCGACCGTCAAGACTCCATTGCTAACGGAAAAGTATTATATACAGGGGCAAGACGGTACCGAGGTGGAGAGCGTATATTTAAAAATATGATTAAAAATTGCATCCCCCATTGTGACCGTGTAACAATAAATAATTTCTCGTTATTTTAATATAATAATCGTACTTTTTTAAATATCGAATAACCGGATATATCGGAAGTTTCGTGGTAAAATGTATAAAAAAAAATTGTGAAATTTTGATAAGAATAAGAAAGCCAATAATTTTCGTGACGGAAAAGTTAAATTTGTTTAAAGCGGAATCTCTCCGATAACACTTCCCCAACGCGTTTGTCAAAGACAAAAGTCTACACCTAAAAATGACAGTTTAATGCCAAAATAGATAGAAAAAGAAACGAGCGACGAAGAAGGAAAAGAAACAAAAACGGAATTTTTCACTACCGACGATCGTTTACCGATAGTAATGTGACGTCACTTCCCAGATAGAGGGGTACTCTACTTCCGAGCGGTGATCCATCAACGTCGGATACGACCGATGTCCGGCTTCTGTCTTCTTAAGCGGGACATCCCTATAAGTTAAACGTTGGCTGCGGCTTTAGCGGAACTGGGAAGGGGAAGACGGGCGCGTAGACCACCCCCTAATCTGCGATGGAAATTTATCGTTAGAGGGCATTTATTAAGAACAGAAGCGACACATGGCGAGAAGAAGAGAGAGAGAGAGAGAGAGAGAGAGAGAACGACATTTTAAACGTCGCCATCGGACGCGTAATTAACAATAACTTAGAGAGAACGACTTATTTAATAAAGTGTGATTAAATTTATCTCTCGTTCCCGGCCGATATTAAAATATTCTATCCCAAACTCTCCGATGTTTCTCCGGTTATTAAAAATATTTTAATAAAATTTAAAGTTAAAATGCCAATGGAATATTAAATAAGACGATTGAATACTTATGTGACGTAAAAGTTCTTCCACCTAAAAATCTTTGGCAATTTCCCGTCTTATCTCCCGCAGGATTTGTTGAATAACAAAAAGAATAGGGAAAAAGGAAGTAGTAAACGTTCGATAGAATATCGGAAGATTAATTCTTATAATAAAAAAAAAAAATGAAAGCAATCGGAGTAACGCCCATCATCCTTTAATTGTATTTTACGCGAGCGCCCGAAACGTGTACCATATTCAAATTATTTATCTTCCTTCTGTAGTAATTTCATTCCCACATGTATATATATATTTCTTTAAGCTTTTAGTTATTGTTAATGGCCCGACGTTGCGGAAGATTTCTCCTTTTTAACCTTGTTTTTTCTACCTTTTAACGCGAAATAAATCGGAGTTTAGTAATAGGGAAGAAGAAGAAGTAATAAATTTTAAGGATCCGGTTAGATAAAACAGGTTTCCCTGGAATATTTGCGTTATTGCGGTTATATTTATACTGCGAATATATTTTTTTTTATCTGTCGTGTTTCGAATATTTCATGAATAACAAACAACTGTTGATGGTTTTCTTTTTTTTCCTCCGCATCTTTAAATTCTCCGCAATTTTTTTAAATAGAAACTTTCGTTTTATATTTCCGTTATGATTAGATTTTTCTTTATTTTCGGGTGGTTATTTCGTGTTTTCCAAAAATAATTTTTAAAAGGTAAAGATAAAAATTTACGTAGGTTTTTGGAATAGAAAGAGCGATGAAGGTGGAGACGAAATAATCCGAAAGATGCCGAAAAAGTAAATTTATATTTACATAAATTTCTGTTCGATTTTTCTCGGTAAGTTCGTTTGTTTTTCCTAAACGAGTAGAATTAATGTTTACCATCTTATATTCAAATATTCGGTTTAAATTAATTTACTACCTCCGCGTAAACAACACGATAGCGCAAACGGACACGCGCCGTTTCACTCTAACAATAACTTTTATGAATTGGAAATTGGTATCACCTCGGGCTATTTAAATGGGGTTTTTTTTTTCTTTCTTCCGACAGAAAATACGAATTTTTAAAACTGCGATTTACATTTATAAACAGATTTTAATCGACCCGGAAAAATATTCTCGACGATACTCGACTTAAGGGGAAGGATTTCCTTTTCTCCTTCGTTAATCTCCAACGTATGGACTACGATCCCCCCTCCTCCTCTCCGGGAAATGGGAAGAGAAGAAGTCCGGTGCCAAGAGGGTATTTACGGCTCGGTGCACCCCTCCGGACTCGTCCTGTGACGTAATTTCGATTCGACTCGACGAATTCGTTTCGACGTCGGGGATTAAGTTCCGTCGACGGCAACACGGCTAACGGAGGGTGGTCGAGCGAGAAAACATCGTCTCTATACTTAAGCCCCCACCGATCGAAACTAAAGTCTTTTCCTACCTCCGCCGGTCGGTCGACAGACGGCCGTTTTGCGAAAGCGAAGAATTACTTCGTCTCCCCTCGGATCCGAAGGATTTGCCAAACGGGCGCCGATTGGTTTAGACGTTACGTCACGTCGATCGAGCGCGTGGAGGGTGGAAGAAAGAAACAATTATAATTAATGGAAAATAGAAAACCATTTTTTTTTTGCCTCCGTTAAGTCTGTTTTCGATCGTAAGAAATTTCCGTACTTTTTTCTAATCTTATTCCGGATTGGTGAAAATTTATATTATTCTATAATAATGGCGATAATAATCGAAACGTAGAATCGTATCGGACGAGAGTAGTCCGTGCGATTCGAAAATATGGATCGGGAAGGAGTTGGAAGCCGGCCAACAATACTACGAGGTGTGACGTCAAAGGTACTGTACCACCGGGTTACTCGCCCCCGTTTAGTCCGTCGTAAGCTTCGCCTCGTAACTCGTCGGTCTTTCCCGATCACCCAATACCAATTCTAACGATTACACTCGGATTTACGAATTATTTAACAAAAAATTCTTTATCGCGTTACGGATTCAAATACGTTATTTCGAGTTTACGCTCTTAAATTAACCGAAAAAAAAACAAACGTTTTCTAAGATGTGTTATTTCGAATGCGGAAAATTGATCGATAAGTATCGTGTCTTCGTCGTATTTCAAATTACTTTTATAAAGGACGTTTTTATTCAATATATTAAAAGAAAATGAAGAAGTTGCGGCCGAAGTTTTCGTCCGTAAAACGTGAACGTCGAACGTCGAGCGCCTCTTTGTAAGCGGCGCTCGACGTTCGACGTTCACGTTTTACGGACGAAAACTTCGGCCTCAACCTCGTTAATATCTTAATTTTGTTTTGAAATCGATAAACAGATACGTTAAGTTATTTTGCCCGCTTCTTCTAACAAAAATTTTATTTTTTTTTTAACTGGACTAAATTAGATTAATAGAAATACGACCGAGTAATCAACTTATCAGCCTACAATAATGCGTTTAATTAATCAAATCATTTTCGCAGACTCAATTTCCCAGAATATTATCGTCATTAACAATTTAAACGTTGATCGAGGCGCGCGAATGAAAATTCTCGTCTCATTAATTTTGTTCGTTTCCTAACGCGGATGTGAACCCACGTCTTTTTTTCTTTCTCCAATCGGTAATTAGACGCCTTAACGAGCGTCGGAGCCATCTAAATTAAAAAAAAAAAAAATAAAAAGAATTAACGTTACGAGAATTGACGATTTACGAGATTGCCGCCTGTTACGTCACGGGGTCTGGCTTCCGGACCTTCTATTACCTCGCCACTGTCGCTAACAGTCGAAAAGGTTGGCGAAACGCCTTTATTTCGGTTCGATTGTTGGCGGTTTTCATCTTTTATTCATCGATTCCGTCAATCGGTATCGAGCGGAAAACCTTTTTTTTTTTTCTTATTCTCGCCTTCTATTTTCTAAAGTGTTTTCTGTAAACGGTTAATAAAATTATTTCTGGTCGCTGCCGTAAAAATAAACCGAAGTTGGTTTGTTAAGACGAGTCTAGTTACTTAGAAAAGACTTTTTACCCAATTCTTCTCGTTGAAATAAGTGAAATTCTTCCTTCCTCCCTCCTTTTTCTTGCATTTAAATGCGGTCTTTCAAACAAAATCCTCTCCCCCTTATTTAGAAATTGGGTTAAATTTCCCTAAACCGAATAATTTATTAAAAGACGAAAGGAGTGAGAAGCGAGAAAAAGACACAGTTACAACGTTAACGTCGATTGTCTATCGACCTTCGCCTTAAATTAAGACGTCGTCCTTCTGTCCCAGAAACGATCTCGTGCTGCCTTTTTTGTAAACTTCTACATTATTAATAAATGTAAGTTAGACACAAGGTTGTTTAAATTACGCCGGTTTTAGTCTTCTAAACTCTTTATTATATAACGAAAATAAAAATCTGTTAAACTTTTTTCTTAATTCTGGAAGGCATTAAAAAGTCGAGAAGTGAATCTTTCCTCTCCAAATTCGTTCTCCATGGAATAAAGTTCTTTTTTATATATTCAAAAAAAAGAAGTCTTTCTCTTTCTCTCTCCGAAAACCTTCGATAACATTGGGAAAATTCAATCTTCTTTAATGGTTCTTTCCATTATTATTTATTCCCTGCTTAAATTGTATTCGGTTTAAATACAATTAGATATAATTCGATGGAAAATGTAATAATTGAATTAATTATTTTAATATTTATAACGTAATCAAATTTTTACCGAGAGAAAAAGATAATCGATATTATTGTCATTTTAAATTTTTAATGATTATTAATTAATATTCGAATGTTACTAAAACATTTTAAATTAGTTTATTAGATTTTTCTCATCTTTACGAATTTTTTTCCTTTATAAAAATTCGTTTAAAAATCGATCGATTAATTAAAACTGATAATCGATCATCTTTAATTAAAATCATTTTTTAAAATATTCCTCTTATTCTTTTCATAATCTTCAAATTCAATCGTTCTTTTGTAAAGAAGATATATAAATTATTCACCTTTCGCTTTATTCTAAATATTGTAGAAACACTTGTAAATATTAAATTAATACACTTTAAGTATACTTATCTATTATATTTAGATACACTACTAGGTTACGAGAAGATCGGTAACGTAGATTTGTATTGTAAAAAATGAGTTCTGTTGACTATTGTCGATTGTTTTTGTTTGTAGGAAAACAACGTGGTTAAAAAGTAAATAGGACTTATTATACTTATGTTAAACCCAACAATTAATCTACGGAAATAATCCCCTAATCCCATTTTGAACAGAAAACAAACGAAATGAGTTTTGGTGTCGAATACGGATCAATTGGTAAGGAACTTTCTTCTTCTTCTTCTTCTTCTTCTTCTTCTTGAGATAGGTAATTAAATATTAACCGTTTTAAAAAAGTGTTTGTATTGTTTGTTTAAAATAAACGACATGGAAAAAAACGGTAATTTTATTTGGGAAATTATGTGGATATTATTTCTAAATAAATTATAAAGAGTAATTATAAAACGGAATATTTTTCGTCCGATTAAAGTATTTATTCGTGTTTATGCAAATGTTTACTTTTATTTTTAATGAATATTCATTTATACAAATGGTTCGGTAAATAGTAGGAAAATAGTTTAACTATAAATCATAAATATGTGGATATAACGAGGATAAAAACATCCTTATTAATCTTTCAAACGATTAATAAAGATATAATAGAGTAATATTATTTAATTTCACAAATCTTATTTTTATTGTTACTTCGATGCCAAATACACGACTGGATGTGTTATAAATTTGTTTGACGAAAATAAATTAGCTTCTCATCCGACGATTTCGTCGATACAAAGAACCAGAGAAACAAGAAGAGATGGACAAAAGAGATCGACTAAGAACGAAGAACAGTTGCAAAAGACGAAGTTAGGAAAAGGGGAGAGAGCAAAGTACATTTGCCACAAAAATCGACGAGGGGTAGAAAAGATATTCCGACAGACGATACATCTATTGTTGATTCCAACTGACTGAAAGAAGCGAAAAAAGTCGAATGCCAAGCGAGACTCGACGTAACTAAAGATAAATTCAATGTAAAGAATGAAATTATCCGGTGTCTCAAACTCAAATTTACAAAATTGAAGATGATCGGATTCACAAATTTTCCAGTCGAAAGAGATTCTGTCGATCGCTTTACAGAAATCGATACGCGAAGTCGAGGAGATCAGATTAGAATTTTTTGATCAATTGAAACATCACTGCATTATAGACTTTACAACGGGTCCAATGCAACCGTGGAGTCGATCAGTATAAATGGAGGAACGATTGCTTTATAGACGAAAAATTTCCAGAATGATTAATAGAAATAATATTTTTCAATTAAGTGAAAAAAACAGGAAATTTATCGTCTGAAAATACACCAACAAGGATTTCTCTTGTCTGATAAATTGATGGAGACAGTATTGAAATTGTATGCCTTTGGGTTAAGTTGACGATGAATGATAATTTTCGTTATTCCCTTATGATTTTCGACTGTAATATATTTGTTAGCGATAACTTAATGGCTCTTGTACTTTGGTTTGTTAGTGTAATAAGCTTTGTTTCTAGTGTTTCGTCGTCGAAATATTTTTGTTACAGACAATGTAATTCTATACGCTAATATTATTATTGAATTTTCTAAAACGTTGCGATTTCCATGAACTGTTTATTATCTAGAATACGGAATATCTCTTAAGTTTTAAATAGTTTTCGAGACCATTAGTCCCGAATAATTAAAATAACCACCGTCCAAATGGGATTATCAAATTACAATAGAATATATTTGCTAGAAAATATAAAAATTAGATATTATCTTGTATTCAGATTTAAATAATCTTAATTAATATGTAAATAAATAATGATTTTTCACTTCTTTAAAGTGTGTTTTTTGAGAAAAATGCACCAAGTACCGAAAAAAGTCTTTCGCTACATTTCGAATGGGGCCGAGACCATTCAAAAGCCTTCGTAAATTAGAAGCGAAGGTTCCATTAATTTCTGACAATTTAATTCTTTGTCTAATGTAACACTACCCACTTTTATTTTATTTTTAAACGATGCAGTCTTCTTCGTTTCCATTGTAAATGAGAATAAAGCGTCTTCATTTTCTGCCAGTATCGGACGACGTGGAAGATGAACAATCGTCTGTACTGCACCGGTACAATCTCTTTGTAATGTTTTATAATCAACGAGCCCAATGTCTGATTTAATATCTTCTTTTTGATTTCAAACTCGGAATACACGTGACGAAATATGAGAGGTCGACCGGTCAATTTTTAAATACTACACGCATACCAATTAGTTTTGAACTTGCAAACTACCCGGATTATTATAATCCGGGTAGTTTGCAAGTTATTCCCGGATTATTATAATCCTGTACGCATTGAACAATGCGTACAGGCAGTACAATACGGATATACCTGTATACCTGTGTTTACACCTTTGTACAGCATACACTGGTGTAAACCAGCTTCTATTTATTTTATTTTTTTGTCAATATTTTCGATGATTCTATTTTCCTTTATCCAGCTTTTCTCTAATAACAATATTCGATATTCTTTGTCTCCATTGTATTCAAAATCTGTTTATTCTAACAATATATATTTTTTTTTTTTTTCAGAACTCTCCTGTCTGACAATTTCAATATTTTGTCTATTGCATTTTTCCTCGGATAGTCAATAAATCAAAATAAAACGAAATAAACTTTAACAGTATCGCTTCTTTCTTCACTAAATACGAAATTAATACGCTTAATGCATATATGAGGCATTATAATGTCCCACTTAGTGAACACGTTGCGTACCGTATAGCCTATATACCGTATCGATATAAGGGTACAACATGTTCGCAACGAGCCGTCTTGTAAACGTTAATTAATTTTCAGTTCTAACTATAAAGGAATTTTTATTTATTTATCAAATAGTAATCGAAATGATTTACGTCGAAATTCCTTAACTAGTTTTGTTCTTTTGCAAAAAAAGATTCTTCTTCAGCTATTATGTTTCACCCTCTTAATTGGTGCAAAGTAAAATGTCTTTTCTTTTTCTTTAGATGGTGCCGGTATGTGTTCGGCTTTCATTAGATTTTTTTGTATTGAAAAAATCCATTCTGTCATTCTCAATCCCTACCTGCTTTTTTGTCTATTCGATACAATGAACCTGATGACTTTTTATTAATGACAGTTTTTTTTTCCTTTAATTTTTGCAGTTTTGTTTTCTTATTTATACGAAAATCTTACCAAACTGATTCTCTGTAAGAAGAAAAAAAAAACACAAAATTTAATTTATTTTCTACTCTTAGAAAATAATTTTGCTTAAAATCTCTGGAAAAATCCCTTCCGAAGTTCGAAAATCTGTGGTTTAATCTTTACTTTTAAATATTGAATTTATATTAATAATTTATTGTTTTATTACAAATTTTCTTTTTATTATCTTCAACAGAGCTTTAACAATATTAATTTCGAATTTTTATGATGTCGCCGGATTAACGAATAAAAAACAATTTTTTTTACATTAATTTAATCCCGTCATATTGAAAATTTTAGTAATATTTGTTATGAGAATTTCATCTTTTCGTGTCGTTTGTAAGATATAAAATTGATCTTTCGATTAACAAGTTTGTAAGTTGCTTCTTTATACTTACAGATCTTCGAGGAATTACACTTTCTACAATTTCCACCACTAAAACGTTTGTATTGTTCTTTATTTTAATTTAAAATTCTTTTTAACTCATCCATGAAATTAAATAAGGCAAGTCGCAAAGAAACCATTACTTAGAACTTATCTTTTATACTGTATATTTCAAATTCTTTTCGTACTTATTATTTTTGTTCTATATATTTTTAATTATTGTTACAGTTTCTTCACTAACTGGCTTCTGCAGCTGCTTTTCTCCTTTCGTCCAATTACGTTTCTTTATCTTCAGTGTCTTTGACTTTGTCGATTCACTGGAATGTTTCCTGCCTTTTATCTTTACAAAATACCGGTGATTGTAATTAAAGTAACCGTATTCAACGCTGTCTTGAATGATATTTAGCAGTCCAAATACAATTATATTTGACGCGGTGGTATTTCGGAACGTGCGAAAGACATTTCCGAAATTGTAGTATCTAAACTGACCATTACGGCACTTTTGGCACTGCGAGCGACAAATTTTTCATTTATACGAGACAATACCATTTACGCATAGACCCTAGAGATATAGGGGTATTACTACTCAATGTCTGTTTTATTCTGTAGGTGTAAACCTGCATTTTCTATAACTAACCTTCTCTGTAGCCCATCTTGCGGATAAAACCACTGAACAGTAGAAGTTGGTCGTGAGTGGGCTGAGGAAGTGGATTTTACCGGGTTTCTCTACCTGTCTAACACCTAAATAGGAGCCAGTTTCCCGTAAAAGTCCCGGAGGCACCCTTTCCTTGGCAGATCGCCCATGTGTTGCGTTGCCTTCTGTTTGAGAAGCATCACAAAGAATTGGATTGAAATAGATTTATTTCAATCCAATTCTCTGTGATGCTTCTGAAATAGCTTACAGTGTAATGCTGTTTTGCAAAGACTTCCAAATATGCTACATTTTCTCGATAAATCACACTTTTTTAACTGTCCCCATAACCAAAAATCAAACGGATTAAGATCTGGAGAACGAGGTGGCCAAGCGATAGGAAATGCACCACTAATCATTCTGTTATTAGAAATGATGTTGAAGAAATTGTTGTATACAGCGTCTGATGTATAAAAGGATTCTGCATCAAAGTGAAGAATGGAGGCATTGTCACTATAGCAGTTGGGAAACAAAATGTTTTTCATCTTTCGGTATCTCTGGACTGTCACAGAGAGTGTTACAGGTCTATTGAGAGTAGCTTCTTCAAAAAGAATGGTGCAAGGATAAATGTAACTGTGAATCACACCAGACTAGGCAATTGCAACGAAATCTGCTGGAAAACACCAGGTTTTCATACGTGGTCTAAATGCTACAGTCTCGGGTATTTACCGTTCACTGAGATGAAAATGTACAGTACCTTGTCGCATCACACGTTCTTCTATGTCTATGATACATCCATTCTGACAACAAAGGCCATTGCAAAGGTCAATCAATTTACCTGTCAGTGCTGGTTGTGACTGATCTTAAATGGGTAAGATGCTCAACTTTCTCAATGCAACCTTTCACTGTGGTGCCATAGGATACGCCTACTGCCGTAACACTGTACGTGCATTACTGGAGCCTGAAACGTTATTAATTGACTGTTAAACAACAGCTATGCCTGTTAGTGAGGCGCAAAGTCACGATCCAGGTTCAGTGGTTTTATACCCATATATATTGGTGGGCCTTAATCGCTCTGCCATCAGTACTTGACTGCAGCACACGAATAACATTTATCTTATATTTCTCTATACAACATTCAATAGAAAAAGAAATACAAACAACCTGTAAATATCAGTCGTGGTATCTTTTTATTTTTCGTGTTTCCGGTCAATTTTGCAAGCTTTTCTTTGTGTAAACGTCAAGTGTAATTTTTGTAATTAAAACGAAAATTATTCGTTATCATTACGTGTATTATAATTTAAAATTGAGTAAATCGTGACAAGATGACCAGACACGAGCTACAGATTCACGGAAACTTGTATTTATAAACAGTTATCTATTATATCTATGCAGCTAATATAATTATGAATACATAAATAAATAGATCAATAATTAAGTATATAGAGGAGTAATTATTTATTGACATTTACACAATGCCGGGCTATAATTTTTTTAAATATATGCTCTCGATTTTAGAAGTGTTTTGCCCCTGTACATCATACTTTTCCTGTTAGCAATAGAGTCGTGCCGGTAATCTATTTAACACCTTTTAGGGAAAAATTAAAAAATTGAAATAACGTAATTTCCGGTTTTTATCGGAAGTTTGAATATAGTTAATCTCTAAGCTTTCTATATCTGGTGTTTACTTTCGGGTGGCACGTGTTTACGTGTCACGCACAAATAAACACATGCAACGATTAAATGTAATTTACTAATATAGTTTATTATTAACAAATTTAGTTACATTTAAAGCCTTTAAAATATCTTCCGGATGTTATCATTCTCCTGGATATTTCTGGATTTATCTACGGAGGTTGGGCGAAATAATGATGAGGATGATGATGATGATATTGCTAAATTGGGATGAAATTCCGTATCATTGCGCTCCATTTAAGCTTTGTATGTATGGAAAATATAAAACAGTAAACGTTTCTAAATTTAACTTTACTGTATTGTACTTTGTAATGTTAATTAATTTAAAGTATATGCTATCCACCTCAAATTAGTAGTGTCTTCTTCTGTATATCATACTTTTCCTGTTAGCAATAGATTCTTGCCGGTCTTCTATCTAAAATTTTTGGGGACGTTTTGAATTGAAACAACGTGGCTTCCACTTTGTATAGATGCCTCCTACCCCTACGCTTTACACATCTGGCCTCGAATTTCGTCCCTCTAACTCACTTCTCGAGATTAAAGAAAGACAGACAGCCAGACGGACGACATAGTGGAGGATTTGAGGTCTAAAAAAACAATTTTTTTTTTCAAATTGCAGTTAAATCAGTTTTCAATAAATCAAAGTTACTAGGAACGATTCAAAGAGTTTGGTACTGTCTCTCTCACGGGAATGCAAACTGGTCAATTTTTAAATTAAAAGACACGTTAAAAGTTTCTTTTTGTGTCCAACACGTAACACAGAAGACATCGTGTTGGAAAATGTTTAAAAATGTAAGACGGAGATCAATTTTATATCATATCTTTTATATATTTTTGACAACCGTATTGTCGTCAGTTTATGAAAAATGCAAAGATGAAAAGATCTAAAATTCGAAAGCTATCCCTCAAATTGCCGGAATGTGATGCCTGTCTGTAATAATATTTCTTTTCTAGAATTGCTCACGTAATAATAAACTAAATAATTTAATTAAACCCTTCGGTAAAAAAAAAGAAACTGCAATCGCTTCGCTTTAATATTTATGTAAAATGAAATATAAGTACAGTACGTATGTATTATTTATTTAAATTTTATGACCACAGTTTTAAAAAGAAACTAACCGATTAATGGAATATTCAATGAAAAATCTTCAATTATTTAAAGCTATACTTTACGAATTCGTTAAAAAAAATTGTTTTTAATCTTTAAATATTTAAATAAAAAATAAACAAATATACGTATTAACTTTCAAGTATAGAACCCGTATAATATCGGGGTGTAGCGCGTATCGGATTTCTGTCATTACTCGACGGCAATTTAAAAGAATTCATTAAAGAAAATCTAATCGAATTTCTTTTATTCTTATTATAATAAAAGATGACCCTTTCTGTAAGACGAGAATAATAAAAAGTTAAAAAATTACTTTAAAAAATTGTAAATGAGGAAAGTTATATTATATATTTGTCCAGAGATTTGGCCAATCACAGAACGACATAGGGACTCGAAATCGTGACGTGTTTTTCTTCCAGCAGTGTAAAACGTTTTTCCTTTTTTTATATTTTCATCTCCACATACCAGCGTGATTAAATAATCGTTAAGAGAATTTGTAATTGTTTTTTTATGTCTTAGTAATATAAAAACGTAAAGGAATAATTATAATTTCCGAAGATTTAAACTGACAAAATCCAGATAAAATATCTTTCTTATTTCGTTTATATTTACTATTTTATATACGTAATATTTTAAAGCATATCTGTGGGAATATTTTTTACCCAGGACGAAGATTCGTCCTCCATCCGACGACTTCTCGTATAACAATGACATGGAATTCCATTTCGTCGTTGTTCGTAAAAATGGGTTGTTTTTTTTTTTAATGGAATGGCATTAAAAAACAAAAGATATGCCAAGGACATACGAATGTATCAGTGAAATCGTTAATTGGATCGAGTGATAAACCTTAGCTTGTTAATACTCTCTAAAGGTTTGTTAAAATCAGTTGGGTCCTACCTCAATAAAATTTCAATTTCTCTTAAGAAAATTTATGGTGAAACACGTTTATGAGTCATTTTTAACATCGATGGTCCCTGTTATTATACACTACTTTATTTTGGCACAGTACAACTTATACAGAACTCGTCGTAACAGTTGCAAAGTATTCCTTCAGAAGTCTTTAAACTTTTTAACGTGGAAAGTCAAATATTTTGTTTTGTGTAGTTTGCATTTTTCGGATGCCAATGTGCGAATCTTCAGTTCAAACTCTAATGTTATATTCTGGTAAGGAAATAGTTTATTGTTACTTAGTGAAAACGTTTTTTTCTATCGCAACGAGTTAAGAAAAGAAAAAGAAGAATATCCGAGATTCTTTACGGAGATTTATGCCGTCTTAACTCGAAACGGGAACTAAAAAACATCTTTAAAGAATCGAAAAGTGACAAAAACAACCTCTATTTATATCACTTCCCTTAAAAAAAAAATATGCCTCTACACAATTCGAATAGATACAGAAATTCGGAATAATTCTTAAGTTTTCTTCTTTAATTGGCAAGTATTACCTACACTATTATAAAATGGTAAAATGCTTAACTTTGAGAGTAGGGACGGGTTTCATAAAAAATTGTAAAACCAGTAAAATCATCATTAAATCCGACCCTACCGGAGATAAACACTACCCCCATTTATCTCCACACCTTCTCGACCTTTAACCACCAAAATTTAACAGTATCAATCGCCCAAACACACTAACATCCATACAACTCCCGAATACTTTTATATTTCTCGATATTTCAAGCTTCCCCGAATTCAAAAAATGTAAAAATCTTTCGGGGGAGGGGGTGGTTTATGACCTTTGACCATACTTTTCTTTCCTCCGTTATATATAACATTAATAAGTACTGTACAGTACTTTCTGTTTTCTCGATTAAAGTCATCTGGTTTTATAAATATACTGTAAGAAGAAACAACTGTTACTTGTAGGAATAAATGTTTTCTCTATCATTAAACAAATTGGCATTTACGAAATTTTTCTAAAAATCTATTTTATATATATATTTTTTTTAATATAAAATAGAAGGAAATAATTATAATCGATTAATCGTCGACGTGGAAAATAAGCAATAACCCCCCCCATCTAACATCATCATTTTAAACAATTTATCGTTTCGAAAATAGACAAAATACTAAGTCAAAAATTTCGGAAGTTCATAAATCGTCCATAAAGAGAAGAAAAGAAATGTTTAGTCTATCGGAAAACTCTTTTCCATTTTAAAATATAATTTAAAAGTAACGTAAGAATTAAAATTTTCAAACTATTTACGGTTATTAAAAATTGAAATCCTTTTCCTCACCCGATGTATTCGTCTATTAAATTTAATACCTGGTTATTTATAATAGATTTAACCTCGTCTTATTAAAATTGCTTACTTATTTTGTTACGAAATGAACCGGAAACGACAATTACTTCGAACGACGTCACCGAAAAAAATATATATAAATATAATATTCGAACGCTTTTCGTTATTGAATTTAGTAAAGAATTTTTTAAAAAAATGATAATAACTCATCAAAGTTAATTAGTAGGTGGTTATTTGACAGGCAATTACTCCGGAAACATTAACAAAACTGTAATAAGACAGTGGTAATTGCATACGTAACACCCAAACGTATCCACGCGACGGAGTAAACCGAAAATACGAACGTGAATGACCCGGGGTGATGAAAAGAAACGCCTTTTTTTTTTGTCGAATACGGACACAAAGAACGAAATCCATTTCCACCCCGAAGCGAAAATCAAAACGTCGACGTAGCAAATGGTGTGCCACTTTGGTAATGTCAAAGGAACGTGTGACTCGAATCTCTTCTATCAATATAATACAGAAGTTGCGGCCGAAGTTTTCGTCTATAAAACGTGAACGTCGAACGTCGAATTTGTTATCCGTAACTCTTCATTCCCC